ATTTTATGATGTATGTTCCAATATGTGTAAAGTAGTACTATTATTCATTAAATGTTATACTCACCATTTTCTCCCATTTTCCAAATCCCTGTTATGATCTGCAATAGTAACTTCTGTGATTGACCTTGTTCACCATTGTATTGATCCAGATGTACAGGCATGTTTGTATATTTCATCTTTTATACATTAGTAACTCTATGAATCGCCCAAACATGTTTTTGATTGGTATAGTAATGATTTTTTTCGAAATCATACTTTTTTTTTTACATTGGAATGGTTGGAAACTTACTAGGGTTAACAAGCTAGTCTTAGTGCCAGTTGCACTCCGGGTTAGGGTGTGATAGATACTAAAATTAGTCATAAGATGTTTTTTATTTAGTTTTGAGCTAGTTTCTAATAAGAAAATTTTATAAAAGAGAAAAAAAAAATATCTATCTACAACAGAGCTATTTCACCAAAAAAAATAAAGAAAAGATCTACTAATTTATGAAAGACCTTAAATCATTTTGGCAAAATCAATGTTTTTAACCCACTAAGTGTGTTTTGTCAATCTTTTGGGATGGTCGATAGATATAACCCATCAGTTATTAAACATAAGTATCCACCCTTGTTTGTGTAAATATATACTCACTAATTGTATGAAATAGAATCAACATGTAAAAAAGTTCATTCCTAAGATGAATAGTTTTGGATGCGTTATAAATGTTAATACTTCCTTTCGTTGTATAAATCTATTGTAGTATAACTATTTGAATATAAACACATGATCCTATGCTTAAAATCTATTAAACTCTAGACTTTATATGTACCACTTATGTAAGGCCAAACGTGTGAAATATCATAAGGGAGTATGGAATATGCACACTAATAATATGACTAGCAAAACTAATTTTATATAGATCATTCAATCACATTGCTATCAATGAAATTCTTGAAATCAAATGCATGAAACTAGAGGACAAATGTATAATAGTAAAAATCAAATGTATGAAAAATACATATATATTAATCAAATGAAAAGAAAATTGATAAATCATGTCCCCTGGGAAACACTTGAAGAGTTGTTTAAGCAAGATGACAAGACGTTCATGTGACAAATTCTTGCATGAGAATTGGCTGTGGGTTGGATGAAGACAGGGGGAAAGGTGATCTTTTCTGTGTGTGGATTATTGCACAAATAAATTGTGCCCAACGCTTTAAAATAATTATTTTCATAAAAATAATCTCAAAAAGTGGTGAATTATAGTAATTGAGGTCCTTTTTCATAAGTAAATAGGTCATACAAATTTATGACTCCTTAAAAATTGTTAGATTAATTTTATGTCATAGTAACTCAAAAATGCATTTGTATGGTGCCAATTGGTGGCATCTTTGATTTGCTTCAATAATTTTGATTTATTATGATCTCTCACAGTTTACACAGAAAGTAAATACTTGTATAAATCTTCTTATTAAATTGGAGTTTTAGTTGTAACATGACATTTATTACTTTGGATAAGTCACGTGTAACTCTTGACCCATTTATGTTAGTTGGCTTGTTTGGAATTAGTTTCATTTAGTAGCGTGCTTTTTCCTTATTTTTGGTACCAAGAAAATATGGCTTTTCATATAAATATTTTTTTATAAGGCAAATCTAATTGGGCCGGGCCATGCACTAAATTTCCCCCGCCACGGATCTATTGCTGGGAAGTTTCGTAGGTTGCCTTTGAAGTTTGACAAATTTTGCCTATTGCCTTAGGCATGTTGTTTTCAAAAAAGGGAGAGCAAAAATAACATGGCGGTGCGGGCAAGTCAAGCAAAGGGTGGGATGAGAAAACGATCGAACCCAAAAGTCAGATGAGAAGAGTTAGAGATTTTTTTTTTTTTTAATGGCTTTTAGAGAGAGAAGTAAAAATTATTTATATTTTTATATTTTATTAATGTTTTTTATATTAAATAAACTTTTTTAAATAAGCGGATAGTTTTTTAAATAGAAAATTTATAGCATTGAAATGGTGTTTGTGATTTAGTGTAATACTTAAATTTAAAATAAACTATATTTTATAATTTACAATTTTTAAAAATTAACTTAAATCACAACTCATAATATAGTTCAATTTTAAATTATAATTTAGTTTGATTAAAAAGATAAATAAATTAAATATATTATTTTTATAAAAAAATTTGACATAAATTAGATATTTAAATTTTTTTACACTATTTATTTTAACAAATTTATTATCTATTAATTAAATACAATAGTTACAAATTATATAATAAATATATCTATATATTATAATAGAATTTAAATTTCACTAACAAAAATCACTCTTTAAGAAGATAAAATAATTAAAAGAAGTATAAAATAAAAGAGAAAATAATTATATAATTAAATAGTAAAAATAAATTATATATAAAGATATAATTTTTAACATTATATATATGTATGTGTATATATATATATATATCACAATTTGATCTAATTTATAAGACTTATTTAATGTTAAATATTATAAAAAAAAATTGAATATATTTTTTTTATACAAATTGACACGGTATTCTTGAGCACCCTGAATCGTGAAGTCCCGGTTGGATTTGGACTGGTGGGTCAACCAAGCTAATACCTAACCGGTAAAACCATCCCCACGGATTTCAGAAGTTGGAATTTGGAATGCAATTGGATTCCTAGTCGGCCATTGTCTCCGTGGCAGTGTACGCGCTGCACGTCTATGTCGGGTACGCGTCACAGACTCAAGTGGACACGAAAGCGAACGCATGTGCAGCGTGTCAAGCTTTATCTAGTAGAAGATCCTCACTTTACCACCGCGTGGCCTTCCCTCGCGCAAACTGCATCAAATTTACCGACTTCCTCTGTACGCCAGGAACCATCGCCGTCCCGTTCTAACAGGAAGAATCGCCGTTGCCATCGTTCCTTCTCATTTCGTCCACCCCTCTCTCTCTCTCCGTGCTTGCATTCGCGCGCTTCCAGTTCGATCTGCTTCTCGTTTACCACCTGAAACTAGCATAACCACCAATGCAACGAATCGTTGACAACGCCATCGCCGTTACCAAGGAGTGAGTCATATATGCATCCATTATTTATAACTTTAATGTGAGAAACGTATTATGTTTGTGTAGTTATATGTTTGTGTCTGGTTGATTGGGTTTTGTTTTAATATAATATTAGGGGCGGGTTCCATGAACAAATAGAATTGGAAATTTTGGTCTTAACCGTGGAAACTTTTTCTATTCTACAATGGAAATTATCGTTTTTTCTTAGGTTCATTGAAATCTTAGTTCCTTGCGTACAGATTCGTTGATTGTTTTAATGAAATTGGAATTTACTGCTGTTTTTATTGCGGCTAGCTTCTTTTATTGATGCCATTTTTATGGATTCCCTCTAGAGCCGTGTTGGTTCCAGCTCTTATTACGTGGGTTAATTTTTATGTTTTAATTGGCTTTACTGCGATAAAAGAGACACCTATATGGTTATCGTCAAACAATACTAGCTTTCCTCTTGTAGGCAAACGATCAAGATCAGCTTTTCGTTGATCACCAATGCAAGTGTCTGTTTTGGAGCAACGATCATCAATATTAATTCCCGGTTCGGCTGCTGAATCCATTCATAAACTGGGGATATGGTACCTTTTGCGTTTGTGAAGCAGTGTACCATACCGATGTTACAAGTGTTACTTGGCTGCTACTGGGAAATATTGGGGGGTTTATTTAGTTTTGGGAGTAAACACTCACTAAGGTAAAGAAGCTCTTATTTGTTCAACATCAGTTACTGGCTTGGTGCTAGGTCCTGTGCTGGAAAGGATTCTAAGCTGGTAATGAAGCTTACCCCGTATTGGTTGGAAATTTAGTCAAGATCCTATTTGAATCAGCAAACATTGTTTTCAAGATTTATTTGAATGCCTATTGAAAATAGAATTTTGTATTTGTGTTGACAAATTACATTTTACTTCATCTGGGCATCTCTCTGGGGCTGCAGTAGCTTTGAGAACTCTAGTTTCACACCATTTAGAGTTTTCTTCTATTACTCTTGGTTGTTTGTATCCATGTCTTTTAGATTTCTCCTTTGGCAGGTGTAGTTTGAATCTGCCCTTGTTAAGCTGAAACTGAACAGCAAGTAGGTCTACTTGCTTTTAAAATGTGGTGATTTATAACAGCATTATGATCAATGATATCATACCTGCATTTGCAGACAGATGCCTAATCGGTTGGCATTCATTTGCATGGTGAGACCAGTCTTGAACAAGTAGTACTCCTAGTCTCACCAGTGCAGCAAGTTGATTAAATATATTATATGCTTCATATCACAGAGTTTTAAAGATTTGAGACAATGCTGGAAGTACAATCACGTTGTTTGTGACATAAACATACATATATTTAGGATATACTTGTATGAAAGTTTCATGATGGATAATGTAAGAATGGAATGAAGGTCAAGTTCAGTGAAAGTTTCATGATGAATAATGTAAGAATGGAATGAAGGTCAAGTTCAGATTTGAATTTGGTTGAGGTTTAATATGTATCCTGGAGATTCCTTATAGTGAAGGAATTTGGAGATTATGTAGCTTGATGGTTGTGCTTACTATGTATTGAGACAATGAATGACAAATGCATCCAGGTATGCCCTGTGAGACCTTAGATTCTTGCAAGTCTTACTTGGAAGAAGAAAATGATAGATGCTTTCTATCTGTGGAGAAGCTTTGGATCAAATTGTTCTATAACTTATTAGACAGTTCATAGTGAAAGTCTTTTTACATAATCTTGCTTGCATGGTAGCATATACAGTTTCCATAGGAAAAATAATCTCTAAGTGCTTATATGATGGAAATTTCTTGATGGATATTCAAATGTTTCTAATCTGTCGATAATTTATTCTGATATAAGTTGATATTAAAATCAGGCTTTTATAACCTGAAAGGAGCTTGGCAATTTTGTTCAACCAAACTTTTTGGACTCCTAATCTCGGGACAGTTGGTGGCCTCTGATTTGACCATTTGGGGGTTTGCATGATAAGTGTTGTTTGGGTAGGGTGGTTAGAAAGGTTTTGGAGGTTCTATTCATATTTTCTCATGGTCTTCTGAAATGGCATACTTCCTAATATTTTTTTCTTTTCTTCGTGTTTGATTTCTTCTTGGCCCACTTTATATGTTTCTACCTACATACCTCTGATTCTTGAGGATTTGCATACATATACTCTGCTACTATCCTGTATTCCCATGCTTGATAGACCCTTTGAACTATGAGAAAATAAATTATGAATCTCTCTGTCTTTTTTCTTTTGTGATTCAGGTCTGTCAAAACATTCACTTATGAGGCATTGAACAATATTGTAAGGCTGATAAATGGAGTTTCAGCACTTCTGTTAGCTATTTTACCTGGGAATAATTCCATCCTTGAAGGAATTCATGGCTGGGAGCTTAGGCCAACGTTCCGTGGACCACGGTTCCCACGGTGGATGGAAAAGTAAGTTTTGCCTAAAATTAAGGAATTCTTCTAGGAGTTTTTGGTTTAGCATTTTGCTCAGAAATTCATGAAGATGATATGGATATACTTTATTTGGTTTTACTATAAGTCTCTCTCTCTCTCTCTCTCTCTCTCTGTGTTTTTTTTATAATGTGTGTGGGTGGGTGAGGATGTGTGTAATTTGTTGAAAGAATTTTCCCTTAAAATGTTTCTGGTGTTTTACTCAGTAATGATGAAGTGCTCAATTAGTTGCCATCCCATATATTTTCTCTTGAGTCACTGTTTGTTAACGACTTTTTTATTAGCTATCTGCATCCTTTATGTACTGCATTCTTGAATCATTGTCCTTGACCTTTCCTTTTAAGTTTCTCCAAGGAAGACAATGATCTACAAGAGTTTAATTGTAGTTTTTATTTGGTTATGAATGTGAAATTCAAGAATGAAGGGTAAATTGAGCATTCAAGGTTGAAAGTTTCTGTAAATCTGGAAGGAACTGATGATATGCATAAGAGCATGTCTTGCTCTAGCACCATGTAGGATCTTTGTAGAAAATCACAAATACATTCAATCATTTCCTTTTTGGTTACTAACTTCCTTAAGTTTAATAATTCTTTATAAATATCATTAATGTTCTTAATATTCTTTTTCTTGATCATGATAGTGGTGTGTCATCTTTCAACCAGTTCATCCATGAACTTTCTGTGAATTCTGATGCCTCATCTGGTGATGGTTACTCATCTGGAGAGGAAGAAAGTGATGGGAATGTGCCTCCTCTGTCTCCTTTATCATACAGTTCCAGAATGTCCAGGGCAAGTAGTTTAACTAAGTTTGACAGGCATTGGACCTATTGGATCATATGTATATTCTCCTGGATCATGTTTCCTGTGAAGTTTCTGTTCGGAATACCATTGTTTCTTTATCACGCATCTTGGCCAACTGTCCCTACTAACACAGAATCGTACGGTTTATCCTCTATCAAGAAAGCACAATCCTTAAAAGACAACTTCATTCAGCGCACCACTGACAGGAGGCGTGGCATAATAGAGGTTTGTTGTTGGCATAGCTGCAATCCCTTTTTTAAAAAAAATTTTATCTCTTTCATTTTGGTGTCTCATTGAAGGTTTTCCACATGAAATTCATATTTTGGGTTATGTTTCCAGGATCTTCATCTTGCAATTGAGATTTGTATAGAATCAATATTTGATATTGTTCACAAGGTAGCACACAGTGTTCTTTCTCCCTCAGAAACATTTAATGCGCTGTTGGGATGGTTTTCTTCTCATAGAAATATTGGTAAGTATAATGCTGCTGGTGAATTGGATGCTTCAGTTTCCACTTCAACTCTTGGAGATAATGATCCAGCCTCAACTGAAAAGAAAACCACTTACCAACAGTCCATGAATACAGATGCTCGAACCTGTAGAGATGTTATAACAGAGCTTGGGTAAGATAATTTGTTTCCAACTAGCCTTAAGCTGCAATTTGTACATAAACAGACTGAAACACTATTGGATTGGTATATTAGAAACTCAGGTGTTTATGTTTACTTAAGAAGGCATATGCACATCTAAAGCATACTTCTGATTTGCCATTGGCTGTTCAAAATCATCAACTAGGGCTGAGTTGGTATGAACAAACTGCATATTGGAGCTATAAGTGACCTTTTTTGAGTGCCAGAAATAATTTGGGAAGGTTATGTTATTGGGAAAAAGAGAAGGGGAAGAATAAGATATTGTAGAAATGCTGCCTGAGTTCTAAGAAATCTCTGAATTTGAACCATACCAATATTACAGCTAATAGAGTATTAATTTAATGATTAAAATTATTACTAGAATCCAATCTTCTAAAAATAATAATTTCCTGTTGGAAATAAAAAATTTTCCTAAAAACTAAAAATTCTAAGTAACACAAATCCCAAAATAAAATATTTCAGAAACCTATAATTATATGTTTGGGCTTCCATCAAATGCTAGAATTTTCTATTGGTAATATATGTCAGTGGTATGTAGGTGCATACTCTTAGAGGATTTTTTGGAGGCTTTCTTCCTTTCTCTCTTTTATCCATTTTAGTAATGTCATGATATTAAGGGGGAACAACTAATCTAATTATCTCCTTTACATTATTTTAGGGAAGTAGTTTCAAGAATTGATATTAATAGTTCTTTTAAATTTTGTAATAGTGATGTTATTGTCGAACTAGCCTTTTGATATTGATTCACTCCTATTAATCCCTTGGAGGGGTTTGTGCTTCCTAACTAAAATGAAATAATAGGGTTGGCCTTTATTTTATAAAATTTTGATTTAGCTAAAGTAAGGTGTGCTGGCTGTAGTTGTTGTTGTTGTTGTTGTTATTAATTTTTTTATGGGTATTGGGCTGGAGTTGTCAATTCTGCCCCCCAGGTGATTTGCGTGGGTAGAGTCTTGTGTGCATTTGGAGTTAGTGTGGGTTAAATCTGATATTTTTTCCTCTTATGGAACAGATAGTAGGATTAGGACATGAATCATCACATTTTTCTAGTTTCTTTTCTATGTTCTGGCTTAAGGATTCTTCTCTATTCATTTTAGGTACCCATATGAGGCTATTCATGTGGTAACTACTGACGGATATGTTCTTCTGTTGGAAAGAATTCCAAGGTAGAATGAACTTTATTTCCTTTCCAACTGCAATTTTAGCTTCCTAATATGTAGTTCTGTTAAAAAAATGTTATTTCATGGACTACATTTGATGCTTGTGGTTTTGCAGACGTGATTCATGTAAAGTCGTTTACTTGCAACATGGAATATTGGATTCATCAATGGGGTGAGATGCACTTTTCCTCTCCTCCTACAATGAATTTATTACTTGAGAGTAGATCATTCATACATTCAGAATTGGTTACACTGAAATGGGGTGTTATATTATAAGTTATGAACCCATCTATTTCAATGAAATGTCTCTTCTTGTTTGTCATAAATCTAAGTTGTGCAGCACAGAGTCATTTCTATCTTGCTTTCTAGTCTGGTAAAGCCAGATGGTGGCATGTATGAGTAAATTATCAGATTGGCAACTCGTTGAAGTTTAGCCCAAGTGGAGATGGAAATATTAGCTTTGATGGCTCTGTAGGAATCTGCATGGGATGTTGTTCTCCAACTCCAAATGTGTAAAGCATTTTGGATACACACACACACACACACATATAGAGAGAGAGAGAGAGAGGGAGGGAGCTGGTGTTTGATTTGAGCGAGTTCTATGATAAATTGAAGTGGACCATGTGTATTTATCAGCAGGATCATTTGGATTTGAAGCAAAGATTAATCTTCTTTTTCAGGACCTATGGGTCTTAACTTAATCAGCATGCCATTGTCTTTAAAGATATTACAAATGTTGCTCTGCATGGTAGGTTCCAGCCATAAACAATCGAATAAAACCTGCTATTCTTCGTAGGTAAGCTATCACACCAAAACTGAGTCTTAATATATGTAAGTGGCTGAAAAAGATTTGTTATCTTTTCAAGCAACTTTGTAAGGTTGTGATGAGGTTTAGGGATTAAGTTCAACTGGCCAACTGCAAATCTGGAGATTAGATTTATGCAACTTCTTGCATCAATGATGACTTTGCTACTTCTATTAGCTCACTTTAGCAATATATGAAAATTCAGAATGTGCTTGGTAGAACTATACCATGATGCTGGTAGGAATGATTTTCAAAGGCTTCATGCACCAACCAAAGTCAAAGGAAAATCTTGGTCAACCAGATTAAGCATGGGTCTCTTGGGCCAAAAGTTGTAGTCAATGGACAAGATGTGAATGTTTTTGTACTATCTTTTAAAGATGGAGGAGGCTAGGAGAGCTGAAAGAGGGTTATTGGTTTAGGGACCCTTTTTTAAAAAAAAAAAAAAGAAAAAAAAAGAAAAAAAAAAAAAAAGAACCTGTTGAGCTTTATTCTCATCTTGAATGGACATATTGAAACTCATCTTGAATGAATTGGAGAATGTTATTATATTCGAAGAAATCTTGACCACCAGTTGGAGTAGTTTTCACCTTTATGGGCTTCAAACAGCTATAGTGCCTGAATCTAACAACTATTTCTTGACAGACGTTCAAACCATGAAGCCAGGAGAACTTTTAGGATGTTGATCCCTATATATTTGAACTTGATAGCTAATATCTTGACATCTTGGTTTCTGATTGAGACCAGTAATTGACTTCCCAGTTTCATCTCATTCTTACCAGAGCGATGGCAACTTTTCCAAAAAAACTGCTTGCACATTCTGAACTTAGCTTCATATCTTTGACTGTGTTCACATCTATGTGTGTGAGATAGTGTTAGTGTGGGAAGACAAATGGGAGGGAACATAATTGTTACATGTATACATGCAACACCTGTATCATATGTCTAAATTTTTACTAAAACAAACTTCATCCAGTGTGGTTCAATGCATTGTTTCTTTGGGAAACCGGATCCTGTAGTTCTGAGGGAGACTGAATTGCAACTGACACTGAGCTTCTTTAGAATTGACAGCAAGGCATATGAGGGCGAGAGAAACTTTTGGTTTTTATTATTATACGTATCTGAGTAATGTTATTTGTTGTATTATACATGCTATTCAATACACAATGCAGCATGTATTATATGTCCAATTTATGTTCTTTTTAAATAATTATTTTTCTCCCATAAATTTTAGTAGAATTTGGAAAAACTCAACATGAATGACAGTTTTGGAAAATGTGATATCTAGAGTGGAAACACCTGTCAAGAAATATATTTTAAAGTTTGGGAGGTGAAGGGGGTGTGGGGTAACAAGGGCCACTCCGCTTGCATCTCGCAAGTCAGGTATTAGCAAGAGAGTGAGAGACCAACTTCTGGATGGAGTTAGCATATAAGTGCAAAATACAATTTCAGTTTTTTTTTTTGGGGGGGGGGGGGGGAATCTTTTCTAGTTAAATTAGTGGTTTCTTCATCCATCTTTCTTTCCCCTTGTCCCCCTCTTGTGTTCTACTTACACATTTGCACTGCAGATCTCATGTATTTGCCTCTGTAATTTTTTTTTTTTTTTTTTGGCTTTGTTTTCCTAATCATTTTCTTACTGTTTTACCTTTCTGACACTTCTTTTTCTTTTTCTTTTCCTAGATGGGTATCTAATGGAGTTGTTGGTTCACCAGCTTTTGCAGCATTTGATCAAGGTTAGTTGTGATTTTGTTTAGTGATTTTCGTTCCTATATCAACCCCCCATGTTACCATGATTCTTTTCCCTTTACTGGCTATAGTTGCTTATTTTCTGTCATGTCAGGATATGATGTTTTCCTTGGGAACTTCCGTGGTCTAGTTTCCCGAGAGCACATTGACAAGAATATTTCCTCAAAGCAGTAAGTTCCTATCAGGAAGTTGCTGGTCACTTTTCTTGCTGAAGCTTTGTTTAAATAAAAGGGTGTTTAAACTGCAACACTACCTAGACTCTCATTATTGTAATTTAATTTAGGTACTGGCATTACTCCATCAATGAACATGGGACTGAGGATATACCTGCAATGATTGAGAAAATTCATGAAGTGAAGACATCAGAATTGAAGTCTACTGTGCCTGTTTTGGAGGAAGAAAGTAATGGCAATCAGCCCTACAGAGTTTGTGCAATTTGCCATAGCTTGGGAGGGGCTGCTATTTTAATGTATGTTATTACACGCAGGATTGAAGAAAAGCCCCATAGACTTTCAAGGTTGATCCTATTATCACCTGCTGGTTTCCATCACGATTCCAACTTTGCATTTACTTTGGTGGAATACTTTTTCTTTTTCTGGCTCCAATACTGGGACCTGTGGTGCCTGCCTTCTATATACCAACAAGGTTTTTCCGTATGTTGTTCAACAAGTTGGCTCGAGACTTCCATAACTACCCTGCTGTTGGAGGACTTGTTCAGACCTTAATGAGTTACGTTGTAGGTGGAGACAGCTCAAACTGGATAGGAGTGATAGGATTACCACATTATAATGTAAATGACATGCCCGGTGTATCCTTTTTTGTGGCTCTCCATCTGGCACAGATGAAACGGGCAGGAAAATTTTTAATGTTTGATTACGGGAGTACAGCTGCCAACATGGAAGTATATGGCTCTCCTGAGCCCTTGGACTTGGGAGAATGTTATGGGTTTATTGATGTTCCTGTAGATCTTGTTGGTGGGCGGAAAGACAAGGTGATCCGTCCTTCTATGGTGAGAAAACATTATAAATTGATGAAGGATGCGGGTGTCGATGTATCATACAAGGAATTTGAGTATGCTCATTTGGATTTCACTTTCTCTCATCGCGAAGAACTTTTGGCCTATGTTATGTCTCGGTTGAGGCTAGTGCAACCCAGTGAAAAGCAGCAACATGTACAGAAATCTGCCAGGTTGAAAAAGAAAGAGACACAGGTAGCAGCTGTGGAGAACACATCAAAAGCCTGATCACTTTCTTTTTCGGATGCACCAGGCACCGGTTTTATGGATGACAGATTAGATTTACACCTGTTATTTAAGTGTGATAGTCATATACATACAAATGCACATACATGCGGTGGCCATCCTCCCAATATTTTGCAAAGGGAAGTCAAATTGTTTGATGACTGCGCAGTTAGTGTACCATAAACGGAAGTATTGTATGCACGTATACTAGGACAATGTTGTCTGTGGATGAATATACTTGTCTCTACTAACTTATGCAGCTTAATGCGGTATGGATTTGGATGAAACGTTTCTTGGAAGTGCCTCCGTTAATACGATGTTCTTCCAACTTAATCTTCATCCTGTGTGCAGCATATAGACGCATTCTGAAGCTAAATTACAAGGATAAATGTATGTAAACTCGAACTTGGTGAAGAGATGAAAAAGCTTGGGTCACGCAAGATGCTAAAATTGTTCAACTTTCTTGGATTTGATGTTGGTTTCAAGGCAAAATAGAGGGTGGATTTTCATTTGTTGTAAATAATTGTAGGGTATTAAGTATATTAAAATTTAGATTTTAAGTCTCTGGTGTATCCAAAGAACATAGCAGTAATTCAACAATATTTAAGCAAATAAATGCCCCATTTCTGGTGGGTTACTGGGTAAAGTTATTGGGCTTCAACGTCACCAAACAGAAGAATAAAACAGCAAGAAGCATTTTAGAACTTTACATTTAGCACATTCTGAACCTCCTTGCGCTTTTACATAAATGGCTCTTTGTGAACCAAGAGTTCTAATAATTTGCCAAATATATTAATATCATTTAATAGTTTTTTTAAAAACTTGACAATTATATTTATTAAGAATAATTCACTCCAGTTTTTTTTTTAATGTAGTTCATTATTTTAAATTTCTTTTTAATTTTAATTGACCTTTTCTGCATGGGATTTCAAATTTCAAATTTAATTACGTGGAATCCAAAGAAGAATTTAGAAATTTGTCTAACTGCTTAGGTTTCAAAGCCAAAATATTTTATGTTCACACTCTTCTTTGCTGGAAGCAAATATTGGCTTGGATCTAAACCACATGAATAATGCACCTTTCATTAGAGGCTACAACAATGCACATTTCTCTAGCTTCACTCCATTCAACCCTTTAATAAGCACGGTCAGAAGAGTGGTCAAATCATTAATTTGAATATAGCCAGTGTATTTTCACGTGACTCTAACAAATATATGAAATTTTTATTGTACACCTGTCGGTTGCAATAACAATATCACATGTAGGGGTGAGTTCGAGCAGATTGATATTAAAAAATTAATCTGACCTGACGTAAGGTGGATGGTAAAAAATTAAAATCGAACACACTTTGTTTTTGTTTCAAATCGTGCAATTCGACTTATTTAAATGCGGGTGGGTTAGTAGGCGGTTTGACAAGTTGGCATATAAGAAATGAAATTTAATAAAAATATAATTTAGAAAGAAGTTAATTTAATAAAAATTAATATAATTTTGTAATACTTAAATCTTAAGAATCAAATAATACAAAAATAAAACTTTTCCATTACAAAGTAAAACAAAATTAAAAGAAATAGAAAGTAAATTCTACCTAATCACTTCTAATTAATATCTTTAATTAAATAAAAATAAATTATTTTGTTAAGTTCAAATCAAAAAAGTATTAACTAAACTTAACAAAATTATTGTATAAAGTACAAAAAAAATGAAAAAAAGCTTAATTATCATTATTTAAATATATTTGTATGACCACTTCCAATAAAAAAATGTTAAGATGTTCAGAATAAATATATTATTACTACAACATATTTTCAATAATAAATAAATATATTATTTATTATACTTAATTTTGATTTATTATATTCATATTTTAAGTAGAATGAGAAAAAAATTTTATTTTGAATATTTTTAAATTATGATTTTATTTCTTTTAATACTAAATATTTTCTCTCAATGAAAGGTTTTACTTCCTAACTCTAAATACTTTAATAAATGAGTTATAAGTAAGAAAAATTACGGTCGATAGAGAACAAATAATATAATAATAAATAAATAAATAATATACATATCTATATTAACGGATGATCAAATAGGAATGAATTTTTAAAATTTTAAACCATAATTTTATTGCATAGTAGATAAATTATAAAATTATAAATTATTAAAAAAATATTATATTAAACTGATAAAGTCAGACGAATCAAACGGATTAGACGACTGTACGCTCACCCCTAATCACACGTTTCTTACACCATACAATGAGATTTCGTCGTCAGATTGACACCAATCAAGGCACCACTTCATATCTACCAATAAGATAGCGACACGTGGACACACAAACCGATATTTATATAATAAGATTACGTGATACTTATTTTTAAGCACTTTTCCAAACTTTCAATGTTCACCAATTGCATTGCTAAACCACAGCCACACCTGCCCAACGCACTTGTATTATTATTGTTGTTGTTTCGCCTTTTGGGAGGAGGGCATAACACTGAGACAAATAGTAGTTTCATAAATATTATATTTTAAAAAATAATATTTAATAACTATTTTATATATTTTTTTATCTTTATGACTTCTCAATCCAAAACGAATTTTGCAAAAACAAATTCTTTATTACTACCAAATAATTAAAAAAAAAGGAGTTGCACAATTTATAATGTGTTTTTTGAATTTGAATATATTGAAAGCTTAAAATTAATAAAAATAATAGAGTTAAAAGTTAAAATTTTAATTTTTGTGCCAAATTTTGAATTCAATTTTTGTAAAAAAATATAAATAAAAATACTGTAAATTTTAATACTATTTTATAGTTTTCTTTTCGTTTAGAGACTCGTTGGTACACGTGTGATTAGCATTTAATATTTGTGGCCCAGCTATGGACTAGTAGCGTTCATTCGGCAACAGTGGCTTTGCGTCATGGTTTCCTTCCTACGCAAACAAATTGTGGAGCAGTAAACTGGGGAGATCACAGTTCAGTTTTTTTTTTTAATAAAATTATTTTATATCAATTTTTTTAAAATTTGTTTAGTATTAATACCATTATTTCGATATTGGTAAAATTTTTTATTTTTTAATTATATTAAAATATTAAATTAAATTAATAGAATTTTTATAAATATATGCAAGAGAAATTTTTTTATTAATAATATTTTTATCTTCACAACAACTTCAGATTATTTTAAAAGAAAATTTTAAGCTCCATAAATTTAAATAAAAATTAATTTAGTAGCTTATTCATGTTCTAAATAAATACTATTTGAAACCAATAATAAAAATTGTTACATTAACAAAAAGAAAAAGTAACGTTGGAAAGAAATAATAAAAACTGTATCGAATAAATTAAAAAATAAAATTTATTCAATCAAATTTAATATAAAACTTTCAATCAACTGAATTAAGAACTTACTATCATTTTAGCAGTTTAATTATTTATATTATAAATAATTTAATTTCAACTTATAATTCAATAAATCATTTAATATATAACATAAAAATTTTAATAAGCTATTATATATAATAATTTGGTACTATATGGGTTTAACTTTAATTTTATTTTCTTTTGAGTATATTCAATATTTTACATTTATTTTTTTGTGAGTAGTTGAGATATAAGATCCAATAATTTCTTTTTTTAAAAAATTGATATTCAATGTCACACCCCACCCATCTAAGTACCCGGCAGGGTGTGACAGCCGAGGCAACGGCCAATACCTATCGGACAAAAAATGGTAACGTGCCGGCTACTGAACCTCTTCAATCTAAACTTAACATGTACCTGTAACAATATAATCACATCTCCAACATAACATTTGCAAAACTCAAACTATTCCACAACTACAACAAGTGTTTTACTATCAACACTCATAAACAAATATAGATACATCTCCAACACAGGTACATCAACCACCACCACCATCATCAACATCTCATAACCAAGATCATAATCTAAGGTTCAAATATACAAAAGATCACTATAAAAGTCTCATTATAATAACATAATTACATAATTTCCAAAAATAACTCTAACTATTACAAAATATACTCTCAGCTATAACTGGCCGCCTCAACTAGTGAGCTATAAAGGCATGTGTGGTAACAGGTGTGAGGGTGTCAAAAATGTAAGCCTGGAATTGAAAAATAAAATAATGAGAATAGAATTTTCAGTGAATGGCATATGGACTAAACTCAAGAAAACAGATAGGGTTTCATATCCATTACATACAAGTCCAATATTTTTACACATTTATAACAACTAAAAGCATAAATAGGAAATATCACAACAAATACTTTTGACGTGGAGTATATCAAACATGCCCCTAATCCATGATCAGAGTCATCAAGAAACATCTTAGAGAATACATTTAAGCTCTAATCATGCATAAATCATATATCTTTAAATTGGTGTGCACAATCGAAAACTCTGAAGGCAATAAAACATTTAAACCATTTAAATATGCTGGACACTAGTACACTGTGTAGCTTGCACCATGGGTCACCATTCCAAGTCAAGTTGACACAGTCTGTGGTACTCTAAGATCTCACTGGGTCCAATGTCATATACGTAGAACTGTCACTTGCCCTAAATGACTGCCCGACATTCTACTTTATGTGCCAAAGCACCAAAATCTCATAAAATTATCAAAATCCACATATATGATAAAAGCATAACATAAACACTCTGTTTCCATGTTTTCATACCAATATCCATTTATGGTTTCCAAAACAGTTCATATCTTCACATAAAATATGCATTTAATTAAAAGGTAAGTTTAGAGAATATGCCACTCACATAAGGTAGATGGTCAAGAGTAGGGTCCTGGAGCAGTAGGCTCGGATCAAGTTTCAGCTCTATTTTCTTTCCTTACACGTGGGATACACATGCACAATGTGAAAAACATCCTATAGGCAAAGTGTAAATGCATGCTTATACCCTAAATTACATGAATACAAGCCTCTACTCTTTCTCTTAACTTTGGGTTCAAACTTAACAAGGCCTT